TAAGGGATTTTGAATTTTAAGGGTTTTGGATTTTAGAAAATGCAAACATCTCTAAAAATCTCTAACATCTAGGCGAATTTTCGGAGTAAGTTTGATTTTAGTGATTTTTGAAAATTAATCAATAATTTCTCATAGATTTATTTTTTTATGAAAATTGATTAATAATAATTCCCCAACATTTAGGCGAAATTATTTTTAGAAATATGTTTTTATTCCCTCAAACATCTAGGCAAAAAAAATAATAAAAATTATTTTTATTATTATTATTATTTTTTTAAGCATTTTTAATATTTTTTTAATTATTATCTTACTTATTTTTATTTTTATTATTATTAAAAAAATAAAATTTTATTTTAATAAATTTAAAAAAATTTATCATGCATGAAATAAAAAAAATACTCAAAATAACAAAATAATATATATAAATAAAAAATTCAAAAAAAAAATTTTTTTACCTGAACCGGACTAGTCAACGATCCGATTAACGCTGATTTGGATCGATTTGATCGATTCGATGATTCAATCAGCAGTTTGTGCGGTTCAATGGTTCAGACAAGTTCGATCGGTTCACTGATGGTTCGTTTGGATCGATTCAAGACTGGCTGAAATGGGTTGGCAGGTCAGTTTGCATGGATCTCAGGTCGAATCAGGTCCATACGCGGATCTCCCGAATCTAAAACGACGTCGTTTTGCTCCCTAGTCTTTTATATATAACTAAAATTTTTTTTTGTTCATTTTTTTCTGCTTCAGAATAAAAAAAAAGAGAGCTCTGAGGAGAGCTCTAGAGCTCTCATGCTGTCCAGTCGTTAGACTGTCGCGTCGACTGCCGCTTAGGTCACCGTCGACAGGGGCTATCGGTGGTCGTCGGTGGCCAAAAAATTTCAATAATACTCTTAGAAACGCTTTTCAATGCGCTCTTCCTGGATCTGACATCCATTTTACCAAAAACAGCCTAATCAGTGTAAATCGGGGCTCAAAGCTTTCGGTCTCCTTTCTCTTTCTCTTTTTTTTTTAAAAAAAAGACACTGATAATTTCTTTGCTTGTTTACAGGGCTTTCTGACACTGAGGTTCCTCCATACGGGAGGACTATTTGTCTTTGTTTTTTTGTTTCTGTTTGTGTGTTTCTGTTTGGGTATTTGGGTATGGGTTTGAGGCTCGGATTAGGGTGCTAGTATGGGTATTGAGCTTGTTGAAAGGGGGGTTGGGTAGTGATGAAAGGTTAGCTTTTGGATTCTGGTGCCAAAAAGGGTGTCCGAGAGAGAGTCTAAAGGGAAAGAGGTTGGGGGTTTTAAAGAGCTTCAAATAAGGGGATAGATGGTGGTCGTAAGCGTGGTAGGATGGTTGTCTAGTCTGGTGGCTGGATAAGAGGCTGATCAGGGGTTGGACAGGGGGTTGGTCTGGGGTTGGATAGGGGCGGCAGCGACGTCGTACCAGTCCTCTGGTTTTTGTCTCCTTTTCCCTTTTATTATTATATTTTTTAAAATATATTTTATTATTATTATTATTATTATTAAAATTATTAATATTAAACTGAAATGAAAACAGTAAACCCCGAACAAAATCAATGTCTTAAGTGATGCTCATCTCTCTGATTAGGAATCAAGACTACGTTGGTATGATTTACTTCTCTCAGATTACCACTCCCCGTTAAGGAATGAAGGACATAACTGAATTACATCATTCCCTACTAAATGCCAAAATTTCTGGTGAAATAATGCAAACATACCATCCGGCTAGGAGTTTTTGATGGTGCATCTGTTTTATGGCTGTCTGCAGTGCCTCGGTAGTGAACTCCATTAATAGAATACCGTTCATTTTGTCGGACACTCGATTTTTCACTGCTTCTAGGATCTCCTCCATGCTTCGACGACCTTGGATTTGGAATAAGCCTCGAAAGTAATTAGTGGCAATTTCTATGATCTTCCCCTCATCAACACACCAATCACCCTTGTTATCATCCAACCATTTTATGCTATTGACCTCTTACGCTGGTTAGCCTTTGCATGAAAGAAGGCCGTGTAGCGATCCCCTTCCTTGAGCCACTCGACTCATGACCTTTGTGCCTAGAATAACTCTTCTCTTTCAATGGCTATATTTAGTTCCTCCCGAACCACTATCGTCTTCTTAAGGTTTTCTTGGTTCGACCTCTGTTCTTTTAGTTGTAGGAGATCTTTTGCAAGCTTTCTAACTTTCTCATGCAATCAATTAAAATGTTTTTTGTGTCATCTCATGAGTTCCTCACCCATGCAAGCCAGCTTTCCCTTTAGTTGTTCCCCATTACTTTCTTCTCAAGCCCCTTTGATCACCTCTTCACACTCCCTTTCCTTCACCTAGATGTTTTCGAATCTGTATTTGTGTTCTGCATTGACAGGCCTTTGGCTATTTTCAGTGTTGATTAATATAGGATTATGGTCAGAGACTAACGCAATATGAGTGATCGTAAATTGTGGGAATAACAGACCCCATGCTTGGTTACCCATGCCTTTGTCAGCCTCTCTTTTACGTTGTTTGTCGGGCTATATTACCTAGTCCCCAAGTTACCAATGTTGATTAATTAAAATGAAGTTAACAAATAAATAAGTGAAACATATCATCTACCATGATTATAATCGAATGAATTAATCATAATTTAAAATTATATAAATATTATTAAAATTTTATATAAAATTACGCTTATAAAAATTGATTCCAATATAATTTTTTATTATGAATAAACAATTATAATTTTATAGTATAAGTAAAATACTTTTGCAACAAATATTTAATTTTATTAATAAAAAATAATAATTTATATTAATTATTATATTTAATGATTATTATTTGATGATCTTACAATAAGATAAAATATTTTATACTTACTTTATAACCCTTCTGACAAGATTAGGTTGAACTTGCAGGGTAGAATATAAGGCAATTCAGTCATTTGAGCATCGCGAAATGAAACATTCGGGAAATTCTAAATAGATTTTTTTCATACTTTTTTTTTCAAAATCATTTTAAATAAAATTATTTAATTATTATTATTATTATTTTTTTACTTTAAAGCTTTCATATTTGTAAATTTGAAAATTTTTTTAGAGTTTTAAAATTTGAAAATTTTGAAAATTTGAAAACTCTTAATAGTATTTGAAAATATATTTTTTAAAAAGTTTTTTGATTTAAATATCTAAATTTAAAAATTTTTATAAGATATTTTTTTAACTTTTTTAAAAAAAGTCTAAATGTAACTTTTTTTTTTAATTTATCAAATATGAAAATTTGATAAATTATATAATTTATCGAATATGTATTTTAAATAAATTATAATTCATCAAAAATATATATCTAATAAATTATATAATTTATTTAAAAGATATATTAAAATTTTAAAATTAAGATGAAAATGATAAATAAATAATTTTATTTAAAAAATTAAAAAATAAATATACAAAAGTAAAGGTATATTTAGAAATCATTCGAAACACTTTTGCATAGGAACTTCGGAATGGTGTCAATAATAGAAGAGCGATAAACAAATCATTCGAAATAATAGAACAGTGGCAGTACGGATACAACAGTGTGAAGGCACTTTTTGAACATCGGGGAGCGCAGAGTTTTGTCCCTCTCGCTTTCATGTTTTTTGTAATTATAATTATTTTTAGAGCCCTATATTTTCTATTATTCTATGTAAACATCCTTTACATTTCATTTTCTTTTGTTTTTGTCCTAAAGGTTTCCTTTTTATTAGTTTATAGTTAATGCATAAAAAAATATTATTTAATATAACAACTCGAAAGAGTGTTCTTAAAAAAATTTTCCTTTTTTTTAGATTATAATTAATATTTTAAAAAATATTATTTAATCTAATAACCCAAAAGAGTGTTCTTAAAGAATTTGTTAACAAAATCCTTTTACGAATGAGTTTGCTGTGTCTTTATTTAAGTTTATTAATTAACCAACTTGATACTTTATTAATTTCAAGAATATTAGCATATCTTTAATTGATTTTTGGATACGAAATAATTAAAATATCAAAATTATCATTTTAATTAACAAAATATTAAGTGAAATTTCTAATTTTATCAATTTTTTAAAAAATTAAAATTGAAAGTACAACTACAAAATTTATCATTTAAATTAATGAAATATTTTGTTAAATATTTCAGTTCCTTATTTTTTCAATAATAAATGCAATTAAAAGTATAATGATAAAATAAAAAAAAAATGAAAAGCATAATGAAAAATTTTAATGAAAGTATAATATCAAAATTTAATATTAACTCATAATTTATGATTTATTTCAAACTAAGATAAGGTACACATTTTTTTTTTTTTGGAATCTATACGAGAATTATGGATATTTACCTACAACTGGAATCATAGAAGTAAATGGACAGCTACTTGTCATAAAAGTAAAACCCAAATGCATTTAATAAACATATTTGAAGATGGAAACGAAGTTTACTCATTTTTAAAGAAGTAAAAGTTTTATTTTTATCATTAAGTGATTGATTTAATCGATTAAATATTATTTTTTTTTTTACGAAAAGATTTTGAATTTGAGTATTATTGGTTATCATTTATTAAGATCATCTCGAATATATGACTTGCAATCACTTGTTTTAAATTGTCAGGTACGATACATTTTACTTGGACATAAAAAATTGAATAACTTATTTATCATTAAATTTTTTTATCAAAAAAAATTATTTTTTATTAATATATATAAATTAAGAAAATGTTACAAATGAATTAAAGCTATAAGAATTGAGGTATGCTTTTGTATTAGCTAGTGATCGTCTACAATTGTATAAAGTACAAATTTGAATATTAAATTGTTGAGTGAATAAAATATAAATCATATAAAAATTGCATTAAAAATAAAAATCATAAAAAATATAATTAAGTTAAGGCACTCAAATGCAAAAAAGGACTAAAACACTTTCAACCACTCTCTGTAGGCGCCTGAGAAGAAGAAAAAGAGTAAAAGCCACTGAAACAGAGAGAAGGAGAGGGAGAAAGCGCATCTGAAAGTTGAAAGTTTTTCTTGTTTAGATTGAGAGGCAGCTAGGGTTTTTAACAGAGAAGAAAAGGAAAATGGAGAGGGAGGATGAGTACTCATATTCGTATTATAGGAGGAGAGAGCGCATTGCGTTGGTGGCCATTGTAGTGCTGGCTTCAGTGGCTGTTGCTTCGCTTTTAGTGGCTTTTAGTTACTATTGTTATATTCGAAACAAGGTCCTCTCTAAGCGATCCAAATCCCATATTACCAGTAAGTCTCTTTGCTTCCATTGCCCCAATGCATTCTTTTTTTTTTTTAAATAAAATTATTTTACTTAATTTTCATTGCATTCAAAAGTGATCATTTTGGGTCTTTTTGGACTTGGATTTTTGATGGTATGAAGTGGGGGACAATGTGTAAGTAATCATCAAAAAAATGAAATCGTTTTTATGCAAACTGATGGATGGTGATCTTTTTGTGTTTAAAGCGGTTGATTGTAAGGACAAAGCTAGCTCTGCCGATCTTGAAGTCGCTATGGACAAAGGGCTTCACGTCTTTACTTTTAAGCAGTTGCATTCAGCAACTGGTGGTTTCAGCAAGTCTAATGTGGTTGGCCATGGTGGATTCGGGTCGGTATACAGGGGGGTGCTTAGTAATGGCAGGAAAGTTGCCATTAAGTTAATGGATCAAGCAGGAAAACAAGGAGAAGAGGAATTTAAAATGGAGGTCCACTATGAATATCATTCTAATTTCTCTTTTCCAGTGTTTTATTATCTGTAATTGACATGTGCCAAGCTAAGCAATCAACAATACATGATTCAATTTACTTCATTCTTTACATTTATGCAGGGAAAAAAATGTATGATTCAATTTACTTCTGCTTAACTGGATTAGGCAGGAAATGATGTTGTCATTGTAAAGAGGTGTTTATATTTGATTGATTGACCATATCTAATTGTAGGTGGAACTGCTAAGTCGGCTGCGCTCTCCATATTTGCTGGCTTTGATTGGTTATTGCTCCGATAGCAGTCACAAATTGCTTGTTTATGAGTTTATGGCAAATGGTGGTCTGCAGGAACATTTGTATCCAATTAGTGGTAAGTTAGTAGCGTTTAGCTTTTAAAATTTTGATGTGCATGAGCTGTTAATTGGCCTTTTATTTGGATGATTGGATCTATGATTTATTATCAAGAATATTAAAACAGGGTGGCATTGTTGGCACTGTATTTCTGCAGTTATTGCTTTCCCCTTTCTCTAAATTGATAAAATGTTCATGCACTTTTTGGGGGTCCCAAAAGGTAAGAGTGGATTGCAAGGGGTGCCCTAAAAGAAAGTGGGGATATTGTAGATCTTTTCTCTTATTAAGTTTAGAAGGGTTGATGCTTATATATTACATTTTTTTTTATTTCTCTATTTCTCTTTATAGAAATCTACAATGGTGATCTTGAATTTTCAGAAATGCTTTAGAGCTTAGCTAGGTGTTCTTCCCTTGAATGGTTTGTGTTGATACAATTGTCAGATACCTAATCTCAGTTTCACCAATCAAGATCATGTACAAGCTTGACTTTTGCTCTATTTGAGACTAAATTAAAGTTGAGTAACATGATGTTGTCCAAGCTCTTATCGTCTTTTCTGGAACAAGATCAGGCATGGCTTGATCTGGAATGATCGATTTATGTAGTAGAACTTTATTGTTAACAATTGATTTTTCTGGTTGTATTCCAAAATGCAGGTTCCAACAATGTAACCTTAAAATTGGACTGGGAAACTCGGTTGAGAATAGCTCTGGAAGCTGCTAAGGGATTGGAATATCTCCATGAACATGTTAGCCCTCCAGTGATTCATAGAGATTTTAAGAGCAGTAACATCCTTTTGGACAAAAACTTTCACGCCAAAGTTTCTGATTTTGGATTGGCCAAGCTTGGATCTGACAAAGCTGGCGGACATGTTTCAACTCGAGTATTGGGCACCCAGGGATATGTTGCTCCTGAGTATTAACTAATAAACTCTTAATATTTAACAGTTTTGTTATCAGTTATAACTGCCTCATTTTGATATTGGGTTTGGTTGCCATGCTGTGCAGATATGCCTTAACGGGGCATCTAACTACAAAATCAGATGTGTATAGTTATGGTGTTGTTCTTTTGGAGTTGCTTACAGGCAGAGTACCAGTTGATGCGAAGAGACCTCCTGGGGAAGGTGTTCTTGTATCATGGGTGAGTTTAATCTCTTTCATCTTGTGATAAATCCCATGCAATTTGGTATGTCATTCTATGATGGTTAGGTTCATCCTATTTGCTTAAGATTTAACACAGTCGTGGTTTTCCTCAATAATTGTTTAAGTTCTCTTTTCTAATTGCCTCTTTACTAGTAAATCCTTGCATCCGTTACTCTTCTCATTCTTCAGTTCTTGTCTTATGTTTGTGCCAAAGGCTTTGCCTCGGTTAACAGATAGGGAAAAGGTTGTACAGATTATGGATCCAGCACTGGAAGGTCAATACTCAATGAAACAAGTTATTCAGGTTGCTGCTATTGCTGCTATGTGTGTGCAACCAGAGGCTGACTATAGGCCATTGATGGCAGATGTTGTGCAGTCACTGGTTCCATTGGTGAAAACTCACAGATCAACTGCCAAGGTTGGTAGCTGCCCGAGCATCCATAGCGCCAAGTGTCCCACATCCCAGGATCCCAGCGAGGCAGGTTTATAAGAATATCAAAAAGCAAGTGCAATTGTCTTTAGCTGAAGATAGATGCCACGCTGCTATTGAGCGTTGTAGCATTACGGACAACTGCTTAGAGATGAAACTAGACTGCTGTAATATTGTTGCCTCTATTTGGTAGAAAGCCCCTGTGACGTCTATAGCGTATGTAAGTTATTCGATCTTATAAACAAATTGAAGAGGTAACAAAACTGTGCTAAGGTTAGTTGCTCTACTGATTGCCTAAAATGGTTAAATACCAGTATTGCATCCTATCAGTAGTTAAGATATTGAGTTACAGGATCAGAGTTTTTGAGTTGAGTCTGGCATCACCCGTTATATCTATATACATATACATATGCATACATATACATATATGTATGTATGTATACATATTAGGGCATTAAAAGCTTACTAATAGAAGAAAAAATGGGTTACCAGATTGAATAAATGACAAATTGCAATAATAACAATTTGTAACCTTTATATGAAGTATTACTTGAATTTTGTATTCTCCAAAGCATGTGTTGATTGAGTCCATAAATAACCTTGTCAAATGGTGAAATCTTCAAGTTTCATTTGTTTTTTGGCACATGATTAAAAGTGTGACTTGTTTTATTTTTGATTCTGGAATTGAATGATGAATTATTCTTAATTAAATTCTAATTAAATCAAAAAATTGAAAATGTCAAAGTCATTTTTTATAGAAAAAGGACACAATCACCAAAAAAAAAAAAATGCTTAAATAAACTCTCGAATCTCGCTAAAAAATGAAAATAAGTTTATGGTCTTTTATCGTATAAAATTAAGATTATAAATTTTTATTTTATTGTAATTAGATCCTTGATTGTTAAATTTTTTTACTTGGATAATTTAATTTGTAGAAAATGTTTAGTTAAATTTATTTGGATGACTTAAATGATAAATATTTAAGGTAATACTATTTTAAAAATTATGTCAATTGTATATTATTAATCAATTTTTAAGATTTGGTAAGTAATTTTAATGAAATAAAAGTTTATAACTTTAATTTCATGCAATAAAAGATTGAAAATTTCTGTACACTTTAAAGTAAAGTTAAACGATTTATTTGGGCATTAAGCCATTTTGAAACTTACATATCTACTTGAACCTAAATTATTTATCCAAAATATTCTACTCAGCTCCATCCAATGGCGGATTGACTTTGAGCTAATCTCTTTGCTAGAAATTATTATAGAGTGCTTCTAAATGCATTTTAGATTTTTCTCTTTACACCTTAATTTTATTTTATTTTTTTTAATTTTTGTAAGTGAAATTAGTTAATTATTTATTCTCTTTCATACAAGTTTTCGGAAATGAATTTTTAAAAAGTTATAAATTTTTTTGAAAATAAATTTTTTAAAAAGCCAAAATGAATCTTTAAAAAATTATAAATCTTTCCAAAAGTAAATTTAAGGAAAATCAAATTTTCGTAAAAGTTTATTACTTCTCATAAATCTATTTTTGAAAAATTATATGATTTTTTGAAAATTTATTTTTAAAAAATTATAAAACTTCAAAAAAATTATGAAAAGAGTAATTAAATAATTTTATTTATAATTTTTTTAAAAAAAAATTAGGGTATTAAAAAAATTAGGGATGGATTTAGCATCACTCACTATTACTATTATATTCTGATAGTATGGATGGAGGACCGGGAAGTACCCCTTGGACCTCGCACCTTAACCTCTTAGCCTCTTCTATATGTTTTCATCTTTTTTTAATAATAAATCATTTTACCTCTGCTTACATAGTAACTTACAAATATATATATATATATATATATAATGATAATAAAATAAGGATTATTATTACATATATAGTTAGTAAAATTTTTAAATTTCGTAAGAGAAAATTATTATGTGTAAATTTTATTATATTAATTATTATTTTGTAATATATATCGTAAAAAAACATGTCCCAATCCTCTAAGTTCGATGGTGGAAGTTTTAAAATCCTCTCGTAAGTTTCCATTAAATAATGTGATTTCATGGGGAATTTTGATATTTATTTTTCTTTCATCTCTTTTTAACCTTAACAAATAAATAAGTAGAAAAAAATTGCACATTTGCTTTACTTAATTTTTTGGATTTATTTTATTTTGATCAATGAACCATGAAAAATCATAATTTGTTATCAATATTTGTTAAATTGCAAATTTTAGTCACTTAAATATTAGAAATTAACAGATGATTAACGTGAATTTTCTCTCCTAATGATATTGTGTCACATTAAATAGTCCTATCATCTCATATGTCAAGTGTCATTGCTAAATTGAAAGAAAAAAAAAAAAACTTAAAGTGTTCAAAATTAAGGAAAAAAGTTTTAAGGAGTGTTTGGTTCGGGAGAATTTGAAATTTTCTTTCGAAATTTGTATTTGTGAAAATGTGATTTTCATGTTTGGTTCACGAGTATTTGATTTTTAAGGTAATCTTAGATTTCTTACGATACTAAAAAGTCTTAGAATTAGAAACTCATATTTTTTTATAATTTTTTAATATTTAAAAAAATTACTTTTATCTCACATTTGGTATGAATAAAAATATTTTCTTTTTATTTTACGTTTTTCAAACTCAACGTATGCTAAGATTTTTTTTTTTTTTACAAATGTCAAATATTGTGTTTGTTGGAAACAAATGCAGTAATTGTAATTATTTTTTGTTGGAATTTTTTTAATTGAGTGGTAAATTTTTTTTTTTTTTTTTGTTATTGAGTAGTGTTAATTATTGCTTTTATTTTAACATAAAGACAGTATTTGACGTCTACTATAATTTTTTTAATTTTCACACTAAATATTGCATATGTATATTTTATAACGTAGGAATTGTTATTATTTACCGTGTTTCTTTTAACAGAAATGATGTATTTGATAACTTTTTAAAATTTGTCATTTTTGCTACTCGAATACAACGTTTGGTAGCTTTGAAAAGCAATAATTGTGCTTATTTATTGGATTTCCATTAAAGGAATTGCAATGTTTGACAACTAGAATGATTTTCATTTTCCAATAGAATAATGCGATAGGAGACTTAAACGTAGTATCAATGATTATTTACTACATTTTTTCAATAGAAACACAATATTTGAGAAATCTTAATAAATTTAATTTTTCCTTCTTGAAAATTGAGTTCTTGATATTACAAACGTTTTTATATTTAATCAAATAAAAATTTAATTTTTAATAATAATTACGACATTTAGGACATAAGAAACGCCGTATTCAGAGTCTTTAACTTTGTTGAATAACAAAGATCACTTTTTTTTTTTTTTTAAGACAACATCACGAATCTCTAAGCAAAGACTTCTTTGTTTTAATTAGCATCAACTACAACCTTTGTGAATTCATCTTCATCCTACTTAGTTTATTTTCTATTTATCAATGAATATTGTGTCTACTATCTATTAAATTATTATTTTTTTTGCATAATATATTTTATTCAAATGTGTTCTTGTTTTATTTGTTTAGAATTCATTTAGATCTTGATTAAAAAGATGTAGATCATTCATATGTATTCTTCATTTTGGTTTTAGTCATTGATCCACAAATGTTTTGTTATTGATTTTTAAATTTTTTTTATTGGATATGTCTTAGATTTTATCTATGAAGTGCACATATTTGCTTTTCACATATATTTTCAACATTAACTAAAATATTTCTTTTAAATAATAATAGCTCGTTTATCATTAAAAAGGAGATACAATAAGTAACAATGCTTATTTTGCACTTGAACTAGATCAAGACTATGTTATACTTGTTACTTATTATTGGTGTGACATTACTTATAATGAAACTTAAAAAAAAAAACATAAACTATTTTATGCTAGTAGCACATATGATAGTCTATAAATTAGAGAGTTGAACTTAACTATAATGATAATTGAAATATGTGTGCTACTCCAGCAAGTGGAAGTTAGCAGAAGTGTTAGTGGAGAAGTAGTTTAAATATTTTCTTATTATCTAATATGTGCAGTTTGCGTGTGTAAAAAGGTGTGTGTGATATTTGTAAATGTAGTTGTAAGTTTGTGATGTCTGTTTTTAATGAATGAGTTTCTTTTAACTTGTCCTTCTTGCTTGATTTGCATCTACATTGGTAAAACCAGCATTGATATTAGAGCTTGGTAATTTTCCTGTTGAAATGCATGGCAAAGAGTTTTAATATTGTCTGGTCAGGTCCAAAGTTCGATGAAAAGCTCGATTATAATTATTAGGTGATTTTGATGACTAAACATTTGATGGCTCATAATCTTTGGAGTTTTGTGAACACACGAATTCAAGAAAGAGCTGATGCAACTGCATAACATAGAGACTAAGTGGCGCTATCACAAATTTACCAAGGTGTTGATTTCACAAATTTTTGGTAAGATTGCAAATGCTGATATGCTCATACTGTCATAACGTCTAGATTCAGGGATCTATCTCTAGACATTGACTTTTAGGGAGTCGCCACCAATTTTTTTTATCTAGGTGCGATTGGCCACCTAAGGAATTTGTTTTTTTAGGGAACACCTAAGTTTAAGGGTTCTTAAAAGAATAGGTTCAGGTCTACTAACCAGAACAGAGTTCGGGAGTTCGGTTACGTGTGAGGAAGGTTATAGCACCCTCACAATGCCCATCAAGAGATGGTACCAGCATAATTTTGTGTTATCCAAAGAGCTTTAAAATTTTATCAAGTAATTAATTATTGAAAATTATTCTCAATTGACTCTAATACTTTTAGCAAAAAATTGAAAAAATTCCCTCACCTCAAGAGTATGCAAGAAAAACTACTGTTTTACTTGCAGAGGTTCCGTCGTCGGATTATTTAAAGAGAAAAAAAATCAAAATCAAAATCAAAATGAAAAGAAAGAAAAGAATGATTGTTTTTTTTTTGTATAGAGAAAATTGATACTTTCAACTTTTCTCCAAAAATATTTTTTTGAAAAACTTTGATAACTTTTCCTCAAAAACATTTTTTGAAATTTATTTTTAAGGAAAATTGATACTTTCAACTTTTTCCAAAAACCTCTTTTTTTTTAAATTTTATTTTAAGAAAAATTGATACTTTCAACTTTTCCTCAAAAATTTATTTTTTTCTTGAAACTTTAATTTCGAGAAAAATTGATACTTTCAACTTTTCTCCAAAAATATTTTTTGGAAACTTTGATTTTCAAGGAAAATTGATACTTTCAACTTTTTCCCAAAAATATTCTTTGGAAACTTTGATTTTCAAGGAAAATTGATACTTTTAACTTTTCCTAAAAAACCCTTTTT